ACGAAAAGGTTGGGTAGGGTGGGTGGTGGGAGGGTATTTTAGGGGGGGTACGGGGGGATTACTTTTGAAAATTGTTTACTTCTGTTTTGCAGTACCTCCTTGGTGCTTGCATTAATAAAATTTACTTACCTTTTCAAAAATAAAACGTACTAGTTACTTTTCAAAAACTTCAAATTAACATGGGCAAACATCATTTTGAGATGGAAAGGTAGCTGCGCATTTTCCCCATAGCTCTGCCAATAGCATTCAACCTTCTGTTTACTCAAACAGTTATTTATCCAGTTTAGCTGTTCGTGAACAGTTAATTAGCTACAGAAGCAATCTAGGAATATGAGGATAAACAAGACGACAATATTGATTGGTAAATGAAGATGTTAAATAACTACTATTCGAACCTTGTAAAGAGCGTGGAAACTATAGTCCCACATTGCACGGCTGTAAGGGCCATCCTTTAGTTCCACAGTAACAATAGGATTCCCTTCCACATTTTCGGAGCTAACAAGAGACCAATTCATGTTCCTTCCAAATCCGTGCTGTCAATTAGAAGAGCATATGGATGACTCAAAACCAGCATTCAGAAACTGATCAGATAATTTGCCCAAGAATATATTGACACATTGTGTGCCCTAATTACCAATATAACTCTAAGTGGAGCTTTAAAATATATTTCTAGCATCTGACTAAGTGATAAAGTGTGTTGGCAGCAGAAATTGTCAGTTGAAGGTTTTGTAAAAGAGTTGTGTCTCCAGTAAAAAATACTGAGCTCTCCAACTATAAGTAGTCTAAGCTATATACATAAAAACGCATGAAGCAATTTACCTGCTGGATTGGGCCAGGTCCAAATTGGGGGAAACAATGCGGTATTCCTCCACTATAAATGTGGAATAATCAGTAAGGAAGGTGATATAACTTCTTTAGCTCTTTCAGTTTCAAATAAGAAATTGAAGATACTGCAACAATAACAAAATTAAAGAAAATAGCTTCTGCTCTGGTGAACTGTTAATCACCAAACATGGTTGACTGTGTTGAGAAAGCAGAAAGCTTTAGCCATTTAGAAAGAGTAAACTTAATTGTGAATAAATTATAAAACTTGAAAACTGGAACATGCACGAAACCTGATTGGTTTCTGACCATTGAATACAGCATCTGGTCTAACAAAAAGAAGATCTTTACTGTCTACTTTCCAAGATGTGAGACAAGCTCCAAATAGATATAGCTCGGCCTCACTGCAAAATAAGGGAAAGAAAAATGTTTCAACTTTCAACCAATCGACAACATATAAACCAGCTTTTCAATGATAGTACACAAAGAACATATTGATTTTTTTTTGGATAAGGACATATTGGCTTTGCCTATTCAATATCCAGTGTTTTGGCCTTGTCAAGCTATAGGAAGTAAGCATTGCTGCATTACCCGACAAGTGATATTTGCTATGGGAATGACTAATGTAGTACTATCAGTATGATCGATAAACAGCTGATTGCATAACCAGTTATCACTTTTCTTTGACATCTACCATTTCCAGAACAATTAGTTTTTTGTCCAGACTGTGATCAATTCAACATGAAGAACTTGGAAGATCTTCACCAACCTTGTCATTACATTTCTTTTTACTTATCCACCTTTGAGAAAATAGCCCGATATATTTAATCCTTCAAGATTAGATCTTTCCTGAGTAATTAATATAGTACAATTATGGTTAGGATTAAGGTTCTACATCAAATGGCTGACTTCTTTTTCCACAACTATTTCTTACAATCCTACTTGGACAGAAAATATACAATTTTCGCTAGCCTTCACAATCTGCAATTAATAAATTAACATCTAATCTGAACCATTAAGCTAAAAAACTAAGAATGTACCTTCCATGAGGAGAAGTCAAAACGACCTTGGGTAAATTCCCCAACCCTTCAGTAGATTTCACACTTGCAAATGCCATCCCTGGATATCTGCAGCCAACCCCAACCCGTTAATTCAACCACTTTCTCAACAAACACAGAAACACCCACTTAAAAAGATTGCATTTTTAAGTCTTACAAAGCGAAAAAGATTGTGTTTTTGAAAAATCAATAACTAGTTGGGTATCAGAAAAGTGACTGATAAATGGGTGAAATGAAAGAAGAAAATAATACCCAAAAACTATAATTAAAAAAAAAGGAATGGAATTTGATATAGAGAAAATGAAGGTGAAACTCACCGGTTGACTCGCCTAAATTTGGAGGAGGTTAAGGGAGAGCAAGACCAAGTCATAGACAGTGCTGCCATCTTCTGTTTGATGGCAAAAATAGAAGGATTTGCAGAAAGTAAGTCTTTTTTTGTATTGAACTGGAAATTGTTCTCTTTTTATTTATGTGTGAAGTTCCATGTTGTCCACTGAACTACTTAACTGGATATTGTGCCTTCCAACAAGTAGGAATATTCTTTTCTTTTTCCCTTTGCTTTTATAGTTTGCTATGTTAATTGAAGATAATTCTTGAAATTGCACTAATATTAAGTAGCAACAAATTTTCTACCAATTCTCAAAAGGGGTTATTAATTTATTATTGTTATCATCCCATTTGACTGTTCCAACAGTTTGCATTTTTAGGATATGTTTGGAAAGCTACCAGTAATTGGAATTGGTGTAATTACTAGGGTAGTAATTACACAGCCTAGTAATTATACAGTTATGTAATTACGAAGATCTGTTTGTTTGTCATAATGTAATTACAGTATAATTACAAGTTTACTGTTTGGCTGCACAAGTGTAATTATACGGTTAAATTAAATTTTAAATGAAGTAATTATCAAAATTTAAAAGTTAATTTAATAAATATATGCCTATAAATTTTGATAAATATAAATAATATTATATTTGGTATTTAAGATGTACATTTTCATGAATATCATTAATTAATAATCATATATTTATAACTAATATTATAAAAATATAATATATATATATATATATATATATATATATATATATATATATATATATATATATATATATATATATATATATATANAAATATATACCTATAAGATTTTATAAGTATAAATGATAATATATTTGGTATTTAAGATGTATATTTTTTCGTGAATATACATTAACTAATAATCATATATTTATAACTAATATTGTTAAAATAATATATATATATATATATATATATATATATATATATATATATATATCAAATTAATAATATTTAATTTAGATACTTCCAAAAATTAAAAATATACATTTTGTAAGAACATCATGAAATTCATGTTTGATAAAATAAATTAATATTTATAAATATAATGCCATAACATTATTCAAATATTTGACAAAACTAATCTATCAATTCTAACTAAAAAATGAACAACATGCAATGTGAGCTAATACTACTAAACAAGTAAATTGGAACCATGAATATAACACAATTTTAAAATTAAAAAAAAAATCTAACATATGTCAAATTCCAACATAATAATAGTAAGTTCCACTACAACTTAAGATTAAAAAACATAATAAGTTTATAACTACATTCAACAATAAAATTCCTCTTTAATTGCACGACTCGTTATTTCTAATATTAGGAGTTGTAGTTTCAAAAACTAGAATAATAAAATAAATAAAAAAAATATATAAGCAATTACATGGAATAAAAAAAGAGTAAAGGTAGAGAAATAAAAGATAAATAATGTACAAAGAAAAATATAATTTAAAATTTCAAAAGAAATTAAAAAGTAAATAAAATTTAAAAAAATTAAAATAATAGAAATAAAAAGTTATAAGAAAATAATTTAAAATAAAAACAAAAAAGAAAGAAACTAAAAGGCAACCTTGTAATAGCATAGTGTAATTACCACCAATTCTCACCTCCCCCTTGAGAATTGGAGAGTGTAACTAGACCCCTCCAATTACACCCAATTCCATGCTGACCAAGTAATTACTTGGCCAAACAAACATGCCAAACTGTGTAATTACATCCAAATCCATTTCCAAAGTAGCTTTTCAAACAAGCTCCTAATTATTTGTTAAACTAATTCTTAATAATTCAAGTTAGTTGGCTTTAAAGTACCCTTTTCACCCAAATATTAATGCGTTTAGGTTTAGTGCTATTTTCAAACATAAAATTTTCACAAAACAATATTTGTGGAACCAAATCCAAAATATGTAAAGTTTTCAACAGTTCGGGAAAAGGGCCAAATATGCCCCTATAATATTGAAAAAGATTTAATATTGTCCTCCGTTATATTATCGGTCCAGATATATCCCTAACATTATACTATCGGTCTAAATATATCCCTGACATTATAAAAGTGGTACAAACCTACCATTCCTCCGTTAACTGCCTCCGTATGACCACATTTCAATGCCACCTCACTATTCCACTCCCATTTTCATCCCTTCCCCACAACCTTTCTTTCCCTTTCATTTGAAGAAAAATCACAAATCATAGATATACAAACACACTATACCAAAGAATTGCTAACAAATTTAGCGGCAACACAATGAAATGCAAAATAAAACACAAAATTGTAAGGTCAAGCGAAAGGTATGTATAATTCCAGGGTCGGCCTGAGAAGCAATAGGTATTTTGAAAAGCAAGAGGAAGTTGAGGCACTGAAGTCTTCAAAATAATGAAAGAACTTTAAAGTCATTGAACTTGGTAGCTGCAAACAAGGTGAAATGGTGAGGTAGCAATAAAATGTGTTCAGAGGGGAGGCAGTTAACGGAGTAAGGGTAGATTTGTACTACTTTTACAGTGTTAGGACTATATTTGGACCGATAGTATGATATTAGGGGTATATTTGGACTGATAGTATAACGAAGGGTAATATTAGACCTTTTTCAATAGTATAAGGGCATAGTTGACCCTTTTCCGTTGTCCAAAACCAAACATAAATAGCGATCAAACGCTGCCTAGGAAATTAACATATGTCCTTTTCTGCTAATTGTAAATTCTCTTCTAGAATGAAGTACACTTTCCCTTTCTCTCAGAACACAAGCTCATCTGAGCTACATTTGATGAAAACGTACTAGAATGCACTACTTCCCCAATTTCTCTCTTTCTCTTTTTAAGTGCAAGCCTAACTGACCTAAATTTTGATCAAACCTACATGATTTCTTTTAGCATATTTCATGGAGGTTACTCACGATTCTAGGTATTTTGCTCCGATTATTTGGATACTTGTCGATGTCTCTTTCGATTTTTCGCAATTACAGGTGGGTTTTAAATGAGAATGATTTATGTTGCAACCCATTCTTTCTCTTTTTCTGCAGCACCTTTTGGCCGCTTCCACATTACTAATCTCAGTGGCAAAAATCATATAATTCGCAAACCGTAGGACATCAGATCTTGTTCATTACATTTGGTGTAATATTTCTGATGAATTGGTTAAGTATAGAAAAGATATGAATACCTCATTAATAGTTGAAGTTTAGCAACCATAGCTATCACCAAGAAAGTGATCAAATGCTCTATTTTGAAGTGCTCGCTTCACCACCACGTCTTATTTGATTAGTTGATTGCTTAGAACGCTTCTGCTAATTCGTATAATCTAAAATTGAACTTTAGTGGTGGTGTATAGAAAATATACCTAAATATCCTTGTTTCAAGAAACAAGAAAAGAACTTTGATTGAATCCTATGAGTACTTTCAACAAGAACATGTTATTGTATGTTGATAAAGAAATGATTTTTATCTATAGGTGATAATAGTCAACATCAATGGAGCCTCTGCACTGATAGAAAAACTTCTCCTACGATACCAACACGCGAGTAAGATTAATTCTTTACACTGCTGACAGAGGAGGCAATTGTCAAAGTATTTGCTTCAACTTAATGGTACAGAAAATGTCTAGTGGCAAGCTCGGGACTAAGGTTTCCTTTCTCTACTATTTGCTGTTCATGCGTTTATATTTCACATTTCTCTTACTGCAAAAGTGCTTCTGCATTCTGCTTACCTATAAACTATGATACAATAAGAATCTGAAAGCATTAAGCTACATGTAACTTTAAACTGGAAACATTAAAGCATTGAAATATCACTAGTATTATTGACTTCAAAGTCCTCATCAAAAAATATATCTAAAAGCACTTGATGTCCTTTCAAATGGCACCCATCAACACCTATAACTGGTGTTCATCCAGCTAAGAACCCTTGTTCACATGCTGCATAGCAAAAATAGAACCTAAAAATCTTTTCGTACCTCTGACAATTATTTTTGGATAATCATCCATCATCCAGCTTCAGAATACATGTAATCCTTGGATTACTCCTTCATAGCTCCGCGCAATGGTCCTACAACATTTTAAGTTGTTCTTCTTTGGTCTTTGTAATCACGTCTCATGCCTTCCTCTTTGCCCTGTAAGATTGATATCTACTAAGTGTACACTTTGTGAGTTCTTTTCACATGAGCTTGAAATTCTTTTACTGCCCAGCTAGGACTAATTCTGAACTCTTCTATATACTTCTTAACCAAAAATCTAGAATCAATAGTCCTATTGTCTCTTTGGTCGCCACATGAATGATTAGGGCCTATTGTCTTGATCTTGAAAGGTTCATCTTGATCTGCTTTTGATGTGAATTATGAACCATATTCAGCTTGGCACGTTACGAATTGATCTTGGCCTCCTAGTTCATTCTTTACAAACTTAATGGATTTTTCTTCATCATAGCATGTATGTGAACTGTTGCAACTTTTTGCCAATTGCATTTTGACCATTTCTTTCTTAAACTATTTTTTTAATAGTTCAGTCTAGTTGGCTTTAAATTACCTTATTCACCCATATTAATCCGTTTAGGTTTAGTGATATTTTCAGACACAATAGGTGTACAAACCAATTTTATAAAAACAAATCCAAAATATGCAAATTATCTCAAAAGCCAAAGCCAAAACTAATTCTCCCAAAACCAAACATAAATCAAACCCATCAAATGCCACCTTAGGAAATTAAGATGTCTTTTTCTTCCGATGTTTTTTAACAAAATAGCTAGGATGTTGGTTTTCCTGAAGTATAAACTGTTACTTCAAAGTGTTTTTGTGTGGGCATCTTGGCATTATCTTATATGGATGATGGAAATATTTTAGGAGATCCAGATGCTTAATTAGATTAACTCATGTTTGCTATAGTTGATAAACTTATCAAGTCAAAAGCAAGTATCGACATACGTATTTCAATGCAACTAGTAGATATTAAATGAATCAGGGAAGTTCATAAAAACAACAGTCCAAAATCTTGTGGACCTTTATTACAACTCAAACTACAAATGAATCCAAACGAATCTCTTTGATTTTCTCAATAGAAAATCCTTTCTTAGATGTGTATGATCCTCGAAGCCTTTTGCCTCCATATGGAACATGAAGCAAATTTGTAAAGATGGACAAGATATCCATCTGTACAGATAAGAGCGAAAGCCAGGTGAATTAGCAGCGTGGAAGATCCTTGGGTGGAGGCAGAATATTATGATCTGATCCTGGTCCATTTTCCACTAAAAATGCTGTTTTTAGTCCCCATCCTGTGTGCAACTCCAGATGACAGTGGAAAAACCAGACCCCTTCACAGAAAATTGGATATGCTAAGAATAAATGAGAAACAATATATAGAAAAAGTTCATTAACTAAAGTTGGTTGTAAACTAGGTACCTGGATTATCAGCTCTGAACCGAATAGCAGTCCAACCACCCGTCGGAACACCTACAGTATTTCTTTCTACAGGATCAACCAAGTTATATTTTGCTGGATCCTTTTTGGGATCAAAGTTTCCGACGCCAGTTCCAACCACAAAGAAATTGTAGTCATGAAGATGGAAAGGATGTGATTCCACTGATAACAAGTTGGTGTCCTGAATTACTATTTCAACTGTGGAATTGAAAGCAATTTTACTAAGCCTTGTGCCTAGATTTGTCCGTAGGTTGGCTGTAAGAGGTGCCCCTGTAAAATTGAATGGAGTAGGTGGTTTGTCTGGGAAATCTGGAGTGTACACACCCTTAATGTTGAAGTAATGAGCTTGAAGAAGTGCAGTTTGTGGCATGCTAAAGGTAATGTTGTTGAGAGAAGCTGTAAACCGAGTTCCATTTAGACAGGTGGGACAAGGATTTATTCCTAGGCCTACTGTAAATAAGAGGTGTCGATCAACATTTAGGGGAACGTTTGCTGGATATTTAGGGGTATTTAGGCTTTTGAGTTAGAGTTATAGGTCAAAGCAAAGTTTGAGTCATTTTGTTCAGGCAAGGTTGGAAGTTTTGGGAGTACAGTTTGTGGGATTCCCTTGTACTGGAATATAGCAGTAGCAGTCTTGTTATCCACAGAGATTGGAGCATCCATAAATGCTCTTGCAGCCATGAAGTATCTTCCTGGAACTTGGTTGGCATGAACCAGAACGTTTGTAGTCTGGCCTGGCGCAATCAGAATGGCCTCTGTGGTGAATGGTTTCGTGTAGACTGCATCAATTTCCACCACTGTGAAGGTATGATTAGCCAGCGCAAAAAAAAGCTCATCGTTGAGAGCAGCATTGACGATTCTCAACAGGTATGTCTTCCCTTTTTCAACTTCCATGGCAAAAGTATCTGAGAAAGAAATATAAATATTAATTGATGTTGGAGCCAAACACTTAACAGCCATATTTTTCTCATACACAAGGTTGAAATACTCCAGTCAATGTCATTCTCTTAATTCTTACGTTTCTCGGAACATGGAAAAAGAGGCCCTGGCTTTCCGTTGATTGTATGGGCATCAGACATATTAGGAGGTATGCCCAAGGCGTTTCCTTGTTTCTCGACTTCTTCAACATCAGCATTCCACCATTCTCCTGCAGCATGATCAAATGAAGCAACGTCATGTTTTATTTATGCTTTGCCATAAAAGAAGTTCAACAAATTTCGGGGTCGAATTCTATATATACTAATGAATGCCACACTCACCTAGTACAAGTACTTCTTCCCTATCTGGTTGAGGGAAAGGGAAGGGAGTTCCTTGTTGTGGCATGATAACTATAGCACCATAGACTGTTGCCCTTAGCCAAAGAATGTGTGCATGCCACCATAAGGTTCCTCTTTGTCCTGTTATATTGAAGTCATAAACATAGCTATTTCCTGTCTGAATAGGGCATTGTGTTATGTAAGCTGGCCCGTCTGCCCAACCATTGCGATATTGTTTCAATCCATGCCTGCAATAAAAGCATCATGTTTGAGCCTCTAAAATTTGACAGACTTCAAAATGTTTTGCAATTTTTATATGAATTTAATGTTTCTTACCAGTGAATGGACAAGTTATACTGTGCAAAGTTAGTAACATTGATTTGAACTCTATCTCCTTCTCTAGCATATATAGTTGGACCTGGAAATCTCCCATTAACTGTAACAATTGGCTTTGCATGGCACAATCTGCTCACATTTGCCACTTGAACCTGTAAAAGACAGAAAGCTGGTAAATGAGTGGACAAAGAAACAAAAATAGCTAGAAACCAAAGTAAACAAAAGCATATTTTTTTGAAAATTGAAGACACTAACATCAAACTGATATTTCTTAAGGGCAGCCTCAGCAGGTAGACAAATGAAACAAAGAAATCCAACGACAAGGAAGCCTAGGACTGGACAGAAACTTGTCTGCTTTGCCATTTTTCTTAGCTAGATGTTCTTAAACAACTGTGTGAATGGATGATGAGAAAAGGAATTAAGAGGCATATTTATATAAGTGAAATGGTAGGGACAATTTTGTGAATGTTTTTGGTTGCTAAGGGGAAGAGGGTGTTGTAACAGAGATTAGGTAGAAAAGGATTTCAATGGGCTGTACTACAAAGCTTATAAGCAAAATTCAGATGTAGACATTTTTAAAGCTTTGACTAACGTAGAGGCTAAATTCAAAATCCAACTCAAGCTACAAACGAGGAGTAGAAAAATAAACATTAGTATATGAACTTTATCTTAACGGTAAAGAAAAGAAGTTTGTCTAGATTGTTTGGTGCTATAGTATAAGAAGGTGCATGTTAATTAGCATGTAAAATGAGGCAGACCTCAAGTAATATTTGACGGCAGTTTCATTGGCTGGTCAAATCATAGCATTTGATTTCGATTTTTGACATAGGAAGGAAAGAAAATTGCTAAAAGTATTAAATGTTCGTTGATCTTTTATTATCAAGTAAACCTACTATGAGTATCACCATTCGTAGATGTTTTCTACGGGTTATTTTTATTATCTTTGATACTGAAATAGCACCTTCAGTCATCTGAGTTGTCTATCCTTTACTCTTCTCTCAACTAAGTATTTCTCTTTCTTTTCTTTTTTCTTCTCGCCTTGGTGTTATATTAATTTTTTTTTTTGACGACATTACTAATTCTCCTGGAGTAGATTTATTTGTTGTTAATAGATTGCTAAGGACAGGGGCGGCCCGACGAATTTTGTGGTCTAAAGTCAAACTTTATGAGGGGCCTTAAATTTTTAATTTTTTTATTATTATTTGAAGTCTATTTTTTTAGCTTTTCAAAGATACAAAATTATTAATAATTCTTTTTATAATCAATAACTCCTAATAAGTATTTCCCAATTGATAATATAACTAATCCATTTAACCTTCTTGTGACATTGTTATTCTTAGGTAAGATTTTATCAGTTTTAATTTTGAGAACTTCTTTCTGCTGAAGCAACGGTAACATGAGTTATGAACATTATTCCATAAGCAATTTAGGCATTTGGAAAAGAATTAAATCTTTTTATTTGATTAAGTGATTTATTTGTTGTTTATAGATTGCTAAGGACAGGGGCGGCCCGACGAATTTCCAACATTTAGTGATCTTAGTTTTTACTGCCAAATAGAAAACCAAAAATATTTTCATATACTTCGAATTGTTCAAATCTATTTTGAAGTGAAAAAATAGCCTTGTCTATTATGTATAAAAGTAATCAACTTTAAAGGACTCTTCGAAACATTTTGAGATTTTATTATCAACATTCGCATCAAATCACGTTTCTTAAGAAATCCGGGTTCGATATTCATTTCAAGTGCAATTTCCTTGGTAGAAATCAGAGCACTTGCAAATCCTTCTTCTCTATATTTGTTAAAGAAAGAAATCAAACTTTTTCACTTTACAGAACTTTTTTTTAAACTTATACAGAGTCTATTAGGTATAACAAAAAATGGGCCCCCAAATATGGGGCTTAAAACGATTGCTTTACTTGCTTTTTGGAAGGGCCGCCCTGGCTAAGGATATTATCCGTGCTATAGATTTACTATAGTGAGGGAGGGGAACGTAAAAGATTGAAATCTTAATAGAAATGTATCCAAAAGGTTTGGGTAAAGTTACAATCACTACTTGAATTTGAGAAATAAAATGAACCGATAATATTGTATTATCATTTGATTCAATTATGTTCTGAAATCAAAACACTATACAAGGTTTAAATAGACTAAAGCACTATCTAGAAAACTGTAATAGATTACTAATTAACTTTGCGAATTATATGCAATTATTCAGCCCATTTTATCATTGAAAATTGAAATATACTACAATGTGTTTTACTATTTCGATTAATTTGAGAAAATAGCTCAAGGAATGAGCCACAAACCTCTCTCCTGCAGGCTCAAATTAGTTACTTAAGAATGAGCAGAGACACTAGAGAATCGAAGTTTCTAAACTTGTCTCAATTTCGTGATTTAGTCCCCCTAAATTGTTTGTTTTCTATTTAACTTGTCTCACTTAATCTTTTAAACAAATGTTACAGTCTAACACCTCTAAACTGAAACATTGGATACTTGACAAGTATTCCCAAGGTTTAGAATTTTGTTTCATGATAATTTTCGGATTAACTAAAATAAAAAAAATTCAGAAATTGCTTTAGAAGCTATATAAAATCTTGTAGACCGGAAAATTACATTATATATATATATATATATATATATATATATATATATATATATATATATGTAGACAGAAATTGTCACTTATGCCTTAAAATGTAGATGAAACGGCATAAGTGACAATTTCGGGAACAAGGTTTCCGGGCACAACAATAGTGAAATCGAAAAGCGAGAAAGTAAGAGTATGTTAAGCTTTGTATAGAATGTAGTGTAACTTTCCCAAAAAAATTGTCCCTTTACAATGGTAACTAAGCTCACTATTTATAGCTATGACTAGGGAATGAGGTCCTAGGATCGTGCCCTTTCTTTAATGTCAATTATGAGGGCCATTGATGAATATGTAACGGTGAACATAAATGGCCAATTCCCTGTAGCGGATCATCGCTCTTAATGCCGCATAATATTCTTTATAAAATGCTACCGGGCGCAGAACATTTAATACATCTTTATGAACGTTATCCTTTCTGGTGACAAGGGGAGCAACTGCGTTCGGTCTTTGGCCATCACCGTCTAGGGTTCCACGTGTCCTTCCTTCGGATGACCACGTGTCATAGCATATTTTACCTTATACAAATAGTCCTCCTGCTTTTCAGTGACATAATTTTGTGTTACCGGAAAGTTGGTAGAAATATTCTTTTGGCGGGAATTACTATAATCCCCTCTGAAAACTTCTGACGGTTGATTAGACGCACGTCTCTTTGCATTTAATGCCCCGAACACGCGTCACCCCACGATTCAGCACAGCTTTTGCCGATTACCGAGGTAATCATGGCCATGAATTTAGCCGCCAAAATTTTTACTTATATGCATCAACCTTCTTCCTTACACTTCATAATTTTCCAAGCTTTTGATTTGCACCTTTGTTCTT